GGTTGGTAATTGAATTCTTCTAGAACAAAAACCCACCTGAGACACGTTCACAGCCCACCTCATTCGATAATGTCTCCATGTATCATGTCGGCATAGTTCACCCTTTCTACAATCCCACAATAGACAACCTTCAACCGAATATATTGAAGCACAGTTTTTATACACGCCAGTAGGAAATCTGCTTACAAAAAATATTTGGATTGTTCTATTTCAAATTATTTTCCCCATCGTTGCGTATGATTCGTGCCAGCTGATTCGCTGTGGGAACACACGAAGATTTTATTAGAAAACTTGGTTAATTTATTTTAGATAACATACATCTGTACCCAAAATATATTTGTCCTGTGTTTGTTCGTGTGTAGGTTACAGCAGGTTGTGGTGAGAAAATATTATAGCCCCACCCGACTCTCATGTTGGGGGCCATTTTGTCGGAAACCACAGTACAGGGAACTCTTATTTATATTTTTTTTTTATTATGACTGGTTTCGGTGTTCTAATTTAGTTCGTAGCCTAGATACGACAATTAATATAAAATATAACCAAGTGTTCAATATGCACAAAAAACTAAATAGTCTACTGCCCCCCCCCCCCCCCCTTCCAATCACCAACTAGCCTACTGCCCCCCCCCCCCCATCCAGTCCATTATCAAGCCTACTGCCCCCCCCCATCTAGTCTACTAACTAGCCTACTGCCCCCCCCCCAGTCCACTATCAAGCCTACTGCCCCCCCCCCCATCTAGTCTACTAACTAGCCTACTGCCCCCCCCCCCCAGTCCACTAATTAGCCTGCTGCCCCCCCCCCCCATCTAGTCCACTAACTAGCCTACTGCCCCCCCCCCTTCCAATCACCAACTAGCCTACTGCCCCCCCCCCCCCCATCCAGTCCACTATCAAGCCTACTGCCCCCCCCATCTAGTCCACTAACTAGCCTACTGCCCCCCCCAGTCCACTATCAAGCCTACTGCCCCCCCCCCCATCTAGTCTACTAACTAGCCTACTGCCCCCCCCAGTCCACTAATTAGCCTGCTGCCCCCCCCCCATCTAGTCTACTAACTAGCCTACTGCCCCCCCAGTCCACTAATTAGCCTGCTGCCCCCCCCCCCCATCTAGTCTACTAACTAGCCTACTCCCCCCCCCCCCATTCAGTCTACTAATTAGCCTGCTGCCCCCCCCCCCCCCATCTAGTCTACTAACTAGCCTACTCCCCCTCCATTCAGTCCACTAATTAGCCTACTGCCCCCCCCCCCATCCAGTCTACTAACTAGCCTACTCCCCCCCCCCCCCCATCCAGTCCACTAACTAGTCTACTGCCCCCCTCTCTAGTCCACTAACTAGCCTACTGCCCCCCCCCCATCCAGTCCACTAACTAGCCTACTGCCCCCCCCCCCCCCCCCACATCTAGTCGACTAACTAGCCTACTGTCCCCCCTATCTAACCGACCCAGCCCCTGTATATAGTTGACTAGTGACCCGACTATCGATTGATACCTCAGTGCTGGGGTAGGGAAACATAAACTCTGTAGTCGGGTACACGGGTTACGGCTTCCGGTCAGTCCCGCATCTCACTCGACATTGATATATTCCCCAAGTGATTCTTTCGGTGGGACGCAATGGGCTGCCGGACCCCAACACGTAGAGTGGTCACTATCTGGACATTTCTCTCTGCTTGGTCACTATCTGGACATTTCTCTCTGCTTGGTCACTATCTGGACATTTCTCTATGCTTGGTCACTGTCTGGACATTTCTCTCTGCTTGGTCACTTTCTGGACATTTCTCCCTGCTTGGTCACTATCTGGACATTTCTCTCTGCTTGGTCACTATCTGGACATTTCTCTCTACTTGGTCACTATCTGGACATTTCTCTCTGCTTGGTCACTATCTGGACATTTCTCTCTGCTTGGTCACTATCTGGACATTTCTCTATGCTTGGTCACTGTCTGGACATTTCTCTCTGCTTGGTCACTATCTGGACATTTCTCTCTGCTTGGTCACTGTCTGGACATTTCTCTCTACTTGGTCACTATCTGGACATTTCTCTCTACTTGGTCACTATCTGGACATTTCTCTCTACTTGGTCACTATCTGGACATTTCTCTCTGCTTGGTCACTATCTGGACATTTCTCTCTGCTTGGTCACTATCTGGACATTCTCTCTACTTGGTCACTATCTGGACATTTCTCTCTACTTGGTCACTATCTGGACATTTCTCTCTGCTCATTGACACACTAGGCGCACACAGTGATATAAATCGGATATTTTTATTTGAGATGCTGGAATAAAATTTCACACGAAAATGTCGGTATGCAGTAAGCTGCTTGCGTACGGTAATAAGGAATGCTGTACTAGCTGTGTACTGGGTTTTTGCTGTGTTAGACGCTCAAGGTTTTCCACGATCTGCCAACGTTAAGGTGGAACTTCCTGTCTGTTCTTTACGTGAAACAAATGTCTTTAGAATTTCATGAAAATGTGTACTTGGTGTTGTACACACTGTGTACATAAGCAGGTGCCCTCGTATTGTTTTAGTGAATGGATTGAAAAAAAATAAAAGTAAAAAAAAATGTTTTAAAATTCCTAAATATGCTAGATTATTGAAAAAAAAAATTAATTAGTTTTGCATAGTAACAAAAAAAATATTGATTTAATTAATTAAAGCATGCAGCTTTAAAAACATGAAGACTGTTAGCACTGGCATGTTGATATTTTCCTAGTTGCCCTCAAACATTTTGTGTTGCTGGGGTCAGTGTATCGTTCTTGTAACGGTGTGTTTGTTATTCATCTGATGTAGTGGCCCCAAACACACATCCCCCACATGACTGGCGCATGTGTGGGTGTGTGAGGCTGAAAAGACAGCCACCTCCCTGCATGTGTGGGTGTGTGAGGCTGAAAAGACAGCCACCTCCCTGCTGTTTAGACTGGCCGATTGTTGTACCGTCTATAGGCGGATAGCACGCTGATACACGGAACTCTACGCCACAAAAATAGTTCGGGCATTTCGCTGATTTTTATTATTGTACGCCGCTGGAGTCCGCCTGTCTGTTATGTATTATGTAGGGGATGGTCTCCTAGTTCATGTAATCAATGCCGTGTAATGGTCTTCTGACACATGTAATCAATGCCGTGTAATGGTGATCGGTCCTTGTACATTTTTCATGAGATTGCCATTTTAGATGCCTTTGTAAAGGTGTATAGATTTACTAATTATGCGTGGTGTCTAGACTTTGTATAGGTGCGTAGTGTTTAGACAATGTAATGGTGTTTATTGACTGATTAATAAACGTAACGTTATCATATCCCTAAATAGTGATTACAGTGTAATGCTGTATATTCTTAATAATGGTGTATAGTGATGTTTGCTGGCTAATTTAAAAAGAATTTAAAACTCTCTAAAAGGTGTCTTGATGGCATATTGGTGTTTAGATGGTGTAATACAAACGTGAAATCGTGTCCACGTTGTAGTGACTGGGTGTGTAGTTTTGCTGGTGCATACCTGAAACGGGTACATCACCACTTGTTTGGTGTCTCTAAGTCACCTGTCTACCACCCCAGCCACACACACCCAGTGTGATGTAGCCACATACCCCTAGTAATGAAGCCACACACACACAGGTTGGTGTAACCACACACAGAGTGATGTAACCACACACACACACACACAGTGTGATGTAACCACACACACACACACACACACACAGTGTGATGTAACCAAACACACACACACACACACCCAGCCAGAGAGATGTAGCCAGCGCGAGTGATGTATGACTTTATTGAACCGCCTAGCTGTATCAGTGTGGAGATGAATCTGAGAGCCCCCACTCAGCCCACAACAAACAGACTTTTATTACATCTCCGTCGCCAAGAATTTATCTTTTTAATTAGGAGCCGGGCAAAGGGGGGCGACAGTATTGGACGGCGGGTGTGATCAATTTGTCCGTCGGTCACCGCTGCACCCGTCTGATTGCTAGCGGTTTATTTACACGGTGACAGGAAGTGGGGATAATCGGGTCAGACTTGCCCCGACTCTAGCCTCGTCTCTCGCGCATTGCTTTATTGGCTGCTAGTTTATCTTGTCGTGTCAGGTGGCGCCACTACTGACATGGTCAGTGACACGCTCGTACTGGTCAGCACAAGATCATTTCACGGTGGGCAACAAGATCATTTCACGGTGGGCAACAAGATCATTTCACGGTGGGCAACAAGATCATTTCATGGTGGGTAACAAGATCATTTCACGGTGGGCAACAAGATCATTTCACGGTGGGCAACAAGATCATTTCATGGTGGGTAACAAGATCATTTCATGGTGGGCAACAAGATCATTTCATGGTGGGTAACACAAGATCATTTCATGTTGGCCAACAAGATCATTTCACGGTGGGCAACAAGATCATTTCATGGTGGGCAACAAGATCATTTCATGGTGGGTAACAAGATCATTTTATGGTGGGCTACAAGATCATTTCATGGTGGGCAACAAGATCATCTCATGGTGGGTAACAAGATCATTTTATATAAGACCGTACATCCAATACCCACCCTGAACCTTCAACACCACATGTGATAGCTGAGATAGAGTAGATTTGGGTACAGCTAGCATATAAAGTTTGTTGCCTTTAAGCTGTATAAAGATGGTCGATGTTTGGTAGCGTTAAGCTGTATAAAGATGGTCGATTGTGTCTAGCTTGGTGTTACACATCTGTTTATCTCTGCCATTGTCTGTGCTTGTCTAAACACACTCGTCAACATTTTCACCCTCCCCCCTCTCTTCCTTCCACCTGCTATAGTGTAGTTACTGTAATACTTGGTTAAATCCATACACAACATTATGTGACATGAAATCTTTTACAACTATTTTTCTTCAGCTTGTTTAAGCATCAACTAAAAACTTCATGTATCATAGTATTTGCTTATTGGTTCAACTGATGAATCTAATGTAATAAACCCTGCCTGAATCATAGTACTTGCTTATTGGTTCAAATGATGATCTTGTCTGTCCACAGCACGATACATCGGTGGTCATCTAACAGTGGATTAACCGATGATGCCTCGCGAGAAAGGTAAGACCATTTCTTCTAAACACTGTATAATTAGACTAGTTGCTATGGTCATTTCTTCTACAACTTAACTCTGTATAGTTGGAGACAATGTTCAGTGTTACCCTGTTTACTAACAAACTAGTAACTGTCCATAAAGATGGGTTGTTTCAAAAAGATGCCCAGTACCCATTAAAGCTGAGCAGGCTCAAAATTCCGTCACACTCTATTGCCCTGTCACGGCGATACATTCTTGTCACGTTTGTGAGATAATTCTACTTGTCACGAATCTGACACATGCTCAACACTGTTTATACATACATCATTGTGACAGTATTAGGTAACACTATAGTGGCACTATAAGACTACTACATGTGACACACCATTGTGACAGTATTAGGTACACATTGTGACACACTATAGTGGCACTATAAGACTACTACATGTGACACACCATTTTGACAGTATTAGGTACACATTGTGACACACTATAGTGGCACTATAAGGCTATTACATGTGACACACCATTGTGACAGTATTAGGTACACACTATAGTGGCACTATAAGACTACTACATGTGACACACCATTGTGACAGTATTAGGTACACACTATAGTGGCACTATAAGACTACTACATGTGACACACCATTGTGACAGTATTAGGTACACACTGTGACACACTATAGTGACACTATAAGGCTATTACATGTGACACACCATTGTGACAGTATTAGGTACACACTATAGTGGCACTATAAGGCTATTACATGTGACACACCATTGTGACAGTATTAGGTACACACTATAGTGGCACTATAAGGCTATTACATGTGACACACCATTGTGACAGTATTAGGTACACACTATAGTGGCACTATAAGACTACTACATGTGACACACCATTGTGACAGTATTAGGTACACACTGTGACACACTATAGTGACACTATAAGGCTATTACATGTGACACACCATTGTGACAGTATTAGGTACACACTATAGTGACACTATAAGGCTACTACATGTGACACACCATTGTGACAGTATTAGGTACACACTATAGGTAGTGGCACTATAAGGCTACTACATGTGACACACTATTGTGACAGTATTAGGTACATACTATAGTGACACTATAAGGCTACTACATGTGACACACTATTGTGACAGTATTAGGTACATACTATAGTGGCACTATAAGGCTATTACATGTGACACACTATTGTGACAGTATTAGGTACACACTATAGTGGCACTATAAGGCTACTACATGTGACACACTATTGTGACAGTATTAGGTACATACTATAGTGGCACTATAAGGCTATTACATGTGACACACTATTGTGACAGTATTAGGTACACACTATAGTGGCACTATAAGGCTATTACATGTGACACACCATTTTGACAGTATTAGGTACACACTATAGGTAGTGGCACTATAAGGCTACTACATGTGACACACCATTTTGACAGTATTAGGTACACACTATAGTGGCACTATAAAACTACTACATGTGACACGTCATTGTGACAGTATCAGGTACACACTGTAGTGGCACTATAAGGCTATTACATGTGACACACCATTTTGACAGTATTAGGTACACACTATAGTGGCACTATAAAACTACTACATGTGACACATCATTGTGACAGTATCAGGTACACACTGTAGTGGCACTATAAGGCTATTACATGTGACACACCATTTTGACAGTATTAGGTACACACTATAGGTAGTGGCACTATAAGACTACTACATGTGACACACTATTGTGACAGTATTAGGTACACACTATAGTGGCACTATAAGACTACTACATGTGACACACCATTGTGACAGTATTAGGTACACACTATAGTGGCACTATAAGGCTACTACATGTGACACACTATTGTGACAGTATTAGGTACATACTATAGTGGCACTATAAGGCTATTACATGTGACACACCATTGTGACAGTATTAGGTACACACTATAGTGGCACTATAAGGCTACTACATGTGACACACCATTTTGACAGTATTAGGTACACACTATAGTGGCACTATAAGGCTATTACATGTGACACACCATTGTGACAGTATTAGGTACACACTATAGTGGCACTATAAGGCTATTACATGTGACACACTATTGTGACAGTATTAGGTACATACTATAGTGACACTATAAGGCTACTACATGTGACACACTATTGTGACAGTATTAGGTACATACTATAGTGGCACTATAAGGCTACTACATGTGACACACCATTTTGACAGTATTAGGTACACACTATAGGTAGTGGCACTATAAAACTACTACATGTGACACACTATTGTGACAGTATTAGGTACACACTATAGTGGCACTATAAGACTACTACATGTGACACACCATTGTGACAGTATTAGGTACACACTATAGGTAGTGGCACTATAAAACTACTACATGTGACACACTATTGTGACAGTATTAGGTACACACTATAGTGGCACTATAAAACTACTACATGTGACACACCATTGTGACAGTATTAGGTACACACTATAGTGGCACTATAAAACTACTACATGTGACACACTATTGTGACAGTATTAGGTACATACTATAGTGGCACTATAAGGCTATTACATGTGACACACCATTGTGACAGTATTAGGTACACACTATAGTGGCACTATAAGGCTACTACATGTGACACACCATTTTGACAGTATTAGGTACACACTATAGTGGCACTATAAGGCTATTACATGTGACACACCATTGTGACAGTATTAGGTACACACTATAGTGGCACTATAAGGCTATTACATGTGACACACTATTGTGACAGTATTAGGTACATACTATAGTGACACTATAAGGCTACTACATGTGACACACTATTGTGACAGTATTAGGTACATACTATAGTGGCACTATAAGGCTACTACATGTGACACACCATTGTGACAGTATTAGGTACATACTATAGTGGCACTATAAGGCTACTACATGTGACACACCATTGTGACAGTATTAGGTACACACTATAGTGGCACTATAAGACTACTACATGTGACACACTATTGTGACAGTATTAGGTACATACTATAGTGACACTATAAGACTACTACATGTGACACATCATTGTGACAGTATTAGGTACACACTATAGGTAGTGGCACTATAAGACTACTACATGTGACACACTATTGTGACAGTATTAGGTACACACTATAGTGGCACTATAAGACTACTACATGTGACACACCATTGTGACAGTATTAGGTACACACTATAGGTAGTGGCACTATAAAACTACTACATGTGACACACCATTGTGACAGTATTAGGTACACACTATAGTGGCACTATAAAACTACTACATGTGACACACCATTGTGACAGTATTAGGTACACACTATAGTGGCACTATAAAACTACTACATGTGACACATCATTGTGACAGTATTAGGTATACACTGTGACACACTATAGTGGCACTATAAGACTACTACATGTGACACACTATTGTGACAGTATTAGGTACATACTATAGTGGCACTATAAGACTACTACATGTGACACACTATTGTGACAGTATTAGGTACACACTATAGTGGCACTATAAGGCTATTACATGTGACACACTATTGTGACAGTATTAGGTACATACTATAGTGGCACTATAAGGCTACTACATGTGACACACCATTGTGACAGTATTAGGTACACACTATAGTGGCACTATAAGGCTATTACATGTGACACACCATTTTGACAGTATTAGGTACACACTATAGTGACACTATAAGGCTACTACATGTGACACACCATTGTGACAGTATCAGGTACACACTATAGTGGCACTATAAGACTACTACATGTGACACACTATTGTGACAGTATTAGGTACATACTATAGTGACACTATAAGGCTACTACATGTGACACACCATTGTGACAGTATTAGGTACATACTATAGTGGCACTATAAAACTACTACATGTGACACATCATTGTGACAGTATTAGGTATACACTGTGACACACTATAGTGGCACTATAAGACTACTACATGTGACACACTATTGTGACAGTATTAGGTACATACTATAGTGGCACTATAAAACTACTACATGTGACACATCATTGTGACAGTATTAGGTACACACTATAGTGGCACTATAAGACTACTAAATGTGACACACCATTGTGACAGTATATATCTCTTACTGACACACCATTTTGCCAACATTAAACTCCAACTTCTTTACTATTGTGACATCATCCTTAAACTCCTACTGACATCAGCATTAAGCTCACACTAACAGCAGCAACCCAACCGTTTTAAAGTGCAGTGCCCCCTCATATCGTCTGACGTCATTAGTGTCATGCCCCCCTGCCTGGCATTACATTATTATGAAGTTAATTCCCTCGATGTTCCCTCGATGTTCCCCGTAGCATTGGCCGACATCTGACCATAAAACAAATCTAGCCCACGCTTGGCTGGCTCTATATCGGGATTCACTTAGTGAATAAACCTTTAAACTGGGATACTAGAGGATGGCTCTGTATCGGGATTCACTTAGTGAATAAACCTTCAAACTGGGATACTAGAGGATAGCTGGCTAGTGGGATTCACTTAGTGAATAAACCTTTAAACCGGGATACTAGAGGATAGCTGGCTAGTGGGATTCACTTAGTGAATAAACCTTTAAACTGGGATACTAGAGGATAGCTGGCTAGTGGGATTCACTTAGTGAATAAACCTTTAAACTGGGATTCTAGAGGATGGCTCTGTATTGGGATTCACTTAGTGAATAAATCTTTAAACTGGGATACTACAGGATAGCTGGCTCTATATCGGGATTCACTTAGTGAATAAACCTTTAAACCGGGATACTAGAGGATAGCTGGCTAGTGGGATTCACTTAGTGAATAAACCTTTAAACTGGGATACTAGAGGATAGCTGGCTAGTGGGATTCACTTAGTGAATAAACCTCTAAACTGGGATACTAGAGGACGTGGCTGTGTTATGT